TTGATGTTCGATCACCTTGCCTCCTGACCACTTTAGGAGTCTCGCGATCTTGTACCTGTACAACCAAGATTATCTACATCTGATCTTCATGTTGTCATGAAAGACAGTGTCAAACATCATGAAATTCTAGGGGCAAAAACATGCGTAATGTACTGCTTGTGAGTAGCTTGAAGACGTCGGGAGTTTAAACTTCTGTCTGGACGGAACGGCGAAACGTTTGTTGCAAAAAAGGATTCCTGCTCGATGCTTGTCAATTAAACATATCACTGTAACAATGTTCACTCGCACATCGTTTATCAAAGTTGGCTGTCACGTGTCTTTCACCTCTTCGTGGCCTGCATCTAGTTTTTTTTGGGGCAAGCAAAAGAATGATACCACGGATTTGCAAAAAAACAGAACCAACATCACTGGATCGCGATCAGTAAGTTCAATCTCAATACGGGATTGTAGACAATATTGTGTGGTCCGCTTGCATCATGTGGTCGCATCCACATCACATTGCAAATACGATCATTTAAAGCGGACGGTAGGATCGATATTGTTTTTATAGATGAATATGAACACAAATCCGACAAACAAAACCCCATTTTCATTCAGTATGCGATGGTGGGCCAATAGCAACTTGCCATTTGATTAAATTTAATACATGATCTATCATTTCGCAGTTTCAGCGAATCGGACTTTTAGGGTAATGAAAAGTCATTTCGATATCATTCGACATATTTTGTCGGAATGCAGTCACAAATTTGTTTGATGTTCACACGAGTGCCAAGTCTACGATACACTATGTTGCATATTGTGAAAGGTTCCGGCAAAGTCGACACCTTTGTGATTTATTACATGTTCACTTTAGTAGAGCTTTATTGTATCCATACACCACCGCAAAGTCATCGCCACGATAAAATAACCATTCAAATTATGTTGGATTATATATGCCAGCTTACAAATGCCCAGTCATAGCTGAATTACAGCGAATATATCCTTCATAAACGCTCGTACACTTCAAGTACAATACAGCACAGAAACATGAGGATTCAGTTGTTGGTGAGAGCAAACACGAAGTCGGCCATGTCTACAACAGTAAACGAATTGATAAAATTATTCCGTCAAAGTCCCTCTAAGTAAAACTGTTGAACACTTTTTCTTCATTGATGCACGGATGCGTTATTCGTCGCTATAATGGATAAGTTCTCCATGCTCCTCGCCTACTTTTAGAGCAGTAATATATATATCAAGCTTGTAACGCTAGAATCTCCTATTAAAGTCAAGTAACGAAGTGGCTGCTAAAACATATTTGCTTCACAACGATCAGTCTTGTATGACATACTACTAGAGAAGATGCGCACTATAGAGTGGCACTGCATGGCAAGATTGAGAGAATCGTAAAAAGGCTGCATTACATAAGAAAGATGAGATTCTATTATATACGTAACACATAGCCATGATTGACACAATTTCAATGGAGTACCAGGACGCTGCGCCTTTGTGCCTGATATGGCATGCCTTCGCCTGGTCTTCTGATTTATCGCTTTTCCCTCACGCAATGTCTGCCCGTTAGCGCCTACACCGCTGAGCACATGCAGCAACCTTAGTGAAAAAGCTTTAAACAAGAAAATTATGGCGTACAATGCATTGCTTGCAACTAGATCTACTACAAAACTACTTTCATTTAAATCACAAGCCATATTGCACATATTATACGACACCAAATTTACCTTTCATTACAGTTTTTAACTAGTAAGGCAGACTGCTGTCTTTGCTAAGTACATCAAATAGATACGTCAGAAAATTTTCTAGTCATTATGCGACTATAAGCAATATATTGGTGGTTTAAATTCCAAACAATAGATTGTGTTTGTCTCAAGAAGCGTCTTATGATATCTTCATGTCTAGTCACAGATCACACAATAGTGGAATAATAAAAAAACAATAACATCAGAACGTACGTGAGATAGAGAACCAAATAGCAACAGCAACAATAAATTTAGAACGTACGTGGGATAGAAAACAAAACGTCAACAGAAACAATCACGTCACACTGCACATGAGATACAGAAAAATAGCAACATCGACAATAGCAACAGCATCGACAATGCCAGACCAAACGCGAGGTAAAGAAAGCAACAATAACGTCAAACTGCTCATGAAATACAAAAAACAACATCAATAACAACATCATCATAAACAAGAGCAATTATAACGTCAGAATGCACATGATATACATAAACAAAACATCAACAATAACGTCATAATGCACATGAGATAGAAAAAATACAGCAGCGAACGTCATACTGCACATGAGATAGAGAACAGACCAGCAACTTCAGAATGCACCTGCCGTCACTTTGACTGTCTTAGTATTCACTCAGCCTGGACATGCTAGCACTTCGACGATCGAGTATTTCACTTAATGCACGGGTGCTAATATTCTCATTGTCGCCGAGTGTGTTTATAAGCAGACGCAACGATCTTGACACATGCTAGAGTTAACCTATGGAACGAAATCCCCCACACGAACACGCCTGAAGATTAGTCTCGTTCGTAGAATTGAAAACATCAGACCGGTTGATTTACCCTTTTGTTGCACCTCGTTGTACCAGCCGCACTATTATACTACAGGTAGAGCTTCGTACTTGTACAGTACTAAGTCTCATCTTGAAGCACTGTCCAGCGAGGATTGTGCCTCTCTTTCTCTAGTTGCGCGAACTGCACTAAACGCCAACAAAAGTCATAACATTATTCAGTGAGTAGGTAAACTGATACCAATATTTAATTTCCATTGCTAGAGACTCCTTCCGTGGTACTAGGCCTCGCTTATTTGTCGAAATATTTGTCGGAATAAAAAAGTGTCGGAATTTTAATCGAATGGCGTCCGACTATCTCTGTCATCTAATTCCACCTGTCACATCGAGTCTGCACCTCACCTCTGAGATGCCGATTAGCAGCCATTCAGGTGAGGTAGAAACGTACCTGTAACAGGTCTCGCGATTGACTGTAGTACCTTCATGGTCTGTTGGAAGCGGCATTCTCCAAAAAGCTTGCAACAACTCGTGCAACCATAATATAGCTCTCCCAAACATTTTTCGGCTAGATCTTCTCAATTTTATATTTGCCGTACACAGGAAGCACCCTCATCCTGATTTACAATCCCTGAAGATGTTCAAAATTGTATCGCAAGTATCTTGCTAGCTACTTGTGCTGCATACATTGACGTGCAGTGACCGGGAGCCAAGGCCCGGCAGTATATATCGAACATACGGCGTCCATCCATTGTGCCTGTGTCAACGTAGCCCTTCAATCCACCGTTCGACAGGCCGAGGAAAGCTGAGCTGGTAGGAACACTTACGCACGCACGACGCCTGTCGTCTTTGGTTCCGTAGACAGGTGATCGCACTGCCAGAGCCTGAGCATGACTCGCGTGATTGGCAAAGTTGCGATTAGACGATGAAAGCGCCCAGCCATACCATCTTCTTAGACAATCAACCATAATGAAGATACATACGCATGGACGAAGAGTGTCCCACTACACAGTGCCGTCATATGTAAGTTCCCTTGCTCGGTATCAACAGCACAACTGACGTAAACAGTGAGGATAATACTTGCGTGTGCCCATGGCGTGTAGCACTAGAATTGTCATAAAGACAAGGCGTGTGCACTCTGTCGCACGAGATGACGAAGCGCTGTAGAAGCCGGTGCAACAATCCGTCGCAGCTTGACGAAGCACATAGTCTGACCCGATGCTGGGCTAGTGATGACTACAAGTTTGACAACGCAGGGCTCAAGAGTCTTTGAAGAATTTGCGCTTGCGTTTGACAGGGATCCCTACTCTCTTGTTTGGCGTTATCGAATATGTAACGGGCACAGTTACACCTGGACTGACAATAGTGTGTCGCAAGCTCTCACTGGTTTCTATGGGAACTAGTGCCCAGTTATATGTGCGTCCACGGTACGCTTTTGAGGAAGGCTTAGTTCTTAACACTAGCGCGTAGTAAGAGAAAAGAAAAGCTGCATTATACATTTGATTCCTAAAATGTGCCTTGTCCTATTAGTCCTAACTTAGCAACATTACTACGAAAGCATGTATGGTAACGTCTACTCACCACCCATTGCGCGCGTTTGTAGCAGCGATAGGTGGGTTGATATACTGTATTTACTGTATCGACCCTTGGGTCACTGCAACAATATCCACGAGCTTAGAGATACTGTAGTAAGAATATTGGACTTGAAATTCTCTACCATTAAATTGTCATAAATGATAATATAATGTAACAACAGGCTCAGACGATTGGTCTGCGAGTTCCACGTCTCGGACACACCTCCAAATTTGCTCCCTCGTGTACTCCTCCTCCGGTCGACGACAGCGTAAATCGAAGATGCGCTTCTACGCGCTCACCCTCGCGACCTCTATTTCGATTTTGACGCACAACACGAACTCGTCGGAAACATCCAGCTCGGCGACGATACACACCAACACAACGGCCACTGGTGGTCCCCCTGACCGCCGCCATGATGGCGTTCCCGCCAGCCGGCCACAAAGAGCACAAGAAAACACGATTGGCGAAGAGAGGCAGCCTAAATCGTTAGAAACTGTCGTGGATTTTGCAGCTTCTGCACTGTCGAACATGGTGCATAGAACTGGTGCACCCTCGCGCGTGATCTCTAAAGATACGCGAGCTTTGAGAAAAGCAATCGGCTGAATGGGCTACTTACAAGCCTCCGATCGCGGCAAATCACAATGGGGCACGCAACAATAGACGGGTGACAACGCTGCTTGCGCATACTGCCGACATCAATCACGCAAACGATAAGACGAGCAGCGCGGTTGAATCAGTTGGAGCTCGTCAGGCCGAAATAGAGAAGCTACAGGAGATAGCCAACATGATGGACGTTAATGGGCACGAGGAGATTTCGGCTGTAGCTCTTGAGGCCGAAGTAGAGAAACTACGGGAGATAGCCAACATGATGGACGTTAATGGGCACGAGGAGATTTCGGCTGTAGCTCTTCAGGCCGAAGTAGAGAAACTACGGGAGATAGCATCATTACACGATGATGGGCATGAGGAGATTTCGGCTGTAGCTCTTCAGGCCAAAGAAGAGAAACGACAAGAGATAGCATCATTACACGATGATGGGCATGATGAGATTTCGGATGCCATCAGCCAGGTGGTCAAAGACGCCACGTTTTATGCAGCCAAGCCTGTACGCGGGCGTTCAGAAATACCTTTCGGATCTTTGGACCTGGCGATTCTGGAGCGAGACATCAAGAGATTGTCCCCAAACCCAAACTCACCGCATCTATTGCTAAAAGCATTGACAAGTTACTTCAAAGACGACGTGGCCAAACTTGCATCTTTTTTCGCGGATGTCAGCTGCAACCCCTTTAATATGGCAGTAATACGACGCATGCGAGAACACGTGTATCAAGACTGGATAGCCAAGAGGACGACGATAAAAGAAGCTGCTTCCCTTCTTAAGATTTCGTTACAGGAGAAAGATCTCCTTGCGAGCAAAAACTACGACACTTGGCTTCGATACATCGCGGCCCGCGCCAAGAATTGCTACGACCGCCCAGAACTCTTCGATCTCATCCTCTCGGAGTTGACGGACCTGATTGGCAAACGCAAAACGGCGATAGTGTTTGCTAATGGAAGGAGCAAGAACGTGGAAGTATTTAAAGTACTGGAGTCAAAGATGTTCGCGCAATGGAAAACGGGTGGATATAGTCCCGACTCTTTCGAGGTGGGATATCAAGCAAGCAGAAAAAGCCGGATATACTTCAGGAGTTTCCGATAGAGCGATTCGTGGTCGGTATGTCAAGTATTACAACTCACATCATTAAGGTGCACGCGCGCCAGTCTTTCATGTTTCATTCGGCATTCGTCACCTGCGCACAAGGGATAACAATACATAATACATGATAACATCCATGAACTTGACCCCACTTCCAAATACAATTCGCTCGCTCTCACCAGGTACAACTTAGCAGAAACTCAGTTCATCAAAACGCGTTGTGGCCCCTAATGTGTTGTACCGCCAGACGCGTGTGTTGTCCAAGTGCCAAAACGACACGGGACCCCATCAGGCAAACGTGTAGGCACGTCGTCGCCACACACCACTGAACCGGACCTGTGCAGCAAGTTCAGCTCTCGTATCATTTATGTCGTGCACAAACTCGATTCAAGCGGGTCGTTCGACCAGCCAGGCGCGTGTCACTAGCACACTAGCACCCCCCCCGTATCTCTACCCGAAGCGTTACTCTACACATAAGCGGCCAATTTTGATGTTGTCGAACGTGCCTCATGCTTCGTTTGCGTCTGCAGCAGGCGACAAGCATTTGAATTTACAATTAATATTGTCTAGTCTCACGGTCGCGGAGAAGACTGCAATCTGAGAACATTTATCAATTCTCTTATAACCTTATCGATAATAATTCGAGTAACTTAACATATACTGTCGTAGTACTTCGCAACCTTGTCGACTACAACGCATCAGAAGGCTTTTATCGAATTTAGGCACTCCAAAGGTGTAAGCTTATTTGCCGACATCGAGGCTTCACCACTCCAAACATCGTCGTGCGTTGCAACATACGCATATCGAATAATAAAGAAGCGAGAAGTGTAACCTACAACGCATCATGAAGTGGAATGTACGATATTTTATTCATCGTGACCGAGCTACATGACAAGTCCGGTGTCGCATTAGGATCACTATATCATGAATGAAACAAAAGACACTTGGCAGTATCGAACTGTGTAGACGCCTACTATCTGATCATCGCACTACCACCAAATGAATGTCTCAGAGCATTCCATAACCATGTAAAAGTGTCGCGGGTAAGTGCGATGGTGTCACGTTTAAGATTTTAGCGTTGCCACGACTAAACATAGTGCAGTATGGCAAACACACACAGTGTGAAGAATTCAACTACCATTTTTAGATGGTAGTGCGCCTGAAATGTTAGATGTAGAGCTAGAGTTCTATTCAACGATATTGGCCTGCCACGCCCATACCCGTCCGTCTCCTACTACTTTCTAGTGCACGCAGCCAACAATCACCTTGGTAATGAACAGTCGTTGCACTTTAACAGTCGATACACGTTAGCGGTCGCTACGTTATAAGCGTCGCGCCGGTCCAAGATTCGCATCGTTTCAAAATATTTGTGCAGAACCACACGCAGCGCCAAAATGTCAATACCTCTACAAGTCGACCATAAGAAGGCATGGATGCCTGAATATTGTACAAATCTACAGATAATAAAGAAGTTGCTGTCACGCATCATACGGAGATCTTTTACTGCCGTCTGAAGAGCACAGTTAATCCGTGTTTGTTAACGTTTTTCAACATTAATTTCCAATCATCTATCAAGGCCGTCAATTAAAATAACTGATAATCAAAGTCGGTAAATAAGTCTCAGGAGCCTGGAACGCTAAATCTAAATTAGTCCAGACTCCATACATATACTTTGATGATGGACCGAATTTCGGCGCTTAAGCGTTTCATTTGTCGATCCTATATTGTTGATAAACGAAATGTAGTGATTAGTCGAGACCTTACACATACATTCTAATGATAAACCAAATTTTGGCGCTTGAGCGGTTCATTTGCTCGCTTCTACATACTTGATGCACGAAATCTCTCGTGTTACACACTCAAACTTAAGTGTTGTGATGTATTATCTTAGTGACATATTCTTATAAATGTGCGTGCTAGACGCATAGGGGAAAGTGGGGCCTGATTCGGAGTGCAGCTTTAATGAAAATGTATGAGTGTATAGATGAGATCAATGGATGAGATTGTTGTCGATGAATACGCGTTATAGCTGTACACGTATTGACTGTAGAAGTGCATTCTTATGTTTTTGCACGATAATATGGTTGTAATAAAGTTTGCTTGATATTTTTGCATTGTGCGAGCTTCATATGACTACACAAATTTCTGAAAAGATAGACCGCTAGACATCATCGTAATATACGTATTGAAGCAGTGATCAATGCTTCGTTAGACAGAGGTCGGGATCTCCAAATAGTTTGTCGGGTATAACTCGTCGGATTATGAGATGATGCCCTCTTTCCACAAACCTCTTTTTTTTTAATTGCACATTTCTCACAGGAAGACAGGGGCCGCTTATTCCATTTTATAGTAATAACATGAGTGCCGTCTTACTTGCGATATTGAGAGAGTGCGTCATTATCTACATAGTATGTACAAGAGTATAGTCTCTTGTCCACGTATCTGGTAAATGACATCCATGTCATTTGAGTACGTGCCTTGTAACCCCTTACTGATCACGAAGCACCGCCATGTGATGCTATATTATTAAAAAAAGTACGTTTACAAGTTACAAACATATTATTCGACGTTTATAGTAAGTTATGACACATGTATTGTGACCGGTTCACGATATTTCGCCGACTTCTTTTGGCGCTATATCCGTTCACAGAGAATTTTTCTATGGAATGAACGACTTGTGAGTCCAATCAATGTCATGCAGTAATGATTTGCGTTCGGACGCAAACATGACGAACAACTAAATTGGTAAGTGCACATTCATAGCTTGTAAAAATCACCTCTTTGAATTTTTCTATGCTCGCCATAGCGTGAACTTTGATTTATATAAATAAAGCGTGGACGTTTGACTGGAAAGTACAAGCCGATGTCAAAAGAATCAAGTCCTATTATAATTTGGTAGTGAACTATTACAAGCAGTATCACGATTGAGCCGATAACACTGTGAAAAATCTGCTATCCACGTATCAAAAAAGAGCGTACAAATAACTCTATGGAATCCATAGAGTAGTTTCTATGCGCTGTTTTCAAAAAGAATGCAATACAAATTCATCGAAGAATCTATGTTGAGTATTATAGATCAAAACATTCGTACCTGATTTGGTCCGTGGAGCCAACGATGCTGCCGTCGGGTTTTCGTTTACGCACTGAGCCAAAGATGGCGCTTAAGGCCTCGTCTGCTATGACTGGCGTCAGCTGCAATCAACTTGATACCCTTCGCAGCAATAAAATATATATTTTATACTATAAAATTTTGTGTATTGTATGGAAATCAGCTTCTTGATGTGCAGTATTTACTTGTATAGAATAGGGTCGATCACTCACGAATACAATTCAAATCGTTCAAGCATGCCACGCGTCATTGCACAACACTGCAATATTTTCACACACTTTGCAAGAATTGCGAGCGGCTGACCATTTTCCAACATGTAGTCTGTATCACCAAAACTTAACAATCGATTATTTTCAATGCGATAATAGCCATTTATACACTAAGTTGGACAAACAAATAATATAAATTGGAAGCCGATATTAAAATGCTCATTGTAGCGTTAGAATGCCGTATGTGCTTCGACAATTAGAATCGAAACAACTCAAGACAGGATTGATGCACGATTTTAATTTAGTAATAGTGCTTGCAACGTTATACCTAAATTATGGGGCTGCTATCGCCTGTTTACAACTAGATGATTTATTATGTGATGCGATGACGAAGAACAAAACGCTTCTCACCAAAAACAATCTCGACTATTGCTGGTAGTTTAGCTGCCATTCTATTACCGAATATTTAGTTTTGTCTGGGGTTCCGCAAAGCCATTTAAAAGTAAAACTTATCCCTAAAGACGCCTATTTGGCAATATGATACATGTAATACCGTGGCAGAGTATATATAGCGACGAACTGTGCTTATGTTTTATCAACATTCGACTGCGCAATGTTTAAACATGTGGTGAAGCGACCAAAAAATTTACGATACGAGAAGGGATCGCGCTCCATTTACACCGAGTTGGCAGATGGTTGGCAACGCCAGTCCCACAACTGTTTGGATCGCGTTCGCATGGACGGTAAGACAGAATTGAATTTCAGATCAGACAGGATGGAACCTGCGATATCGGGTTAAAGTACGACGTGCGGAGAATACGAGTCATAGAGATCGGGTTTTGGCAAGGGGTGATTACGTTGGCGATCAGTCGATCAAGAACGACCCCGCGATCAAGGAGGCGATCGAGACCGTGATCGGCGATCAGGTACGTACTCGCTATCAGGTTCGTGTAGACCACGACAAGCGATCGCGATCGAAAGAGTGTGTACCACACCATGTGACCCGCGATCAGGGAGGTGATCGAGATCGTGACCGGTGATCAGGTGTGTAATCGCGATCAAGCTAGTATGGGTTAAACCACGCGATCGGCGACCAGAAAGACGACTGCGATCGGACAAGCAGATCAGGTGTTTGCCACGCAAGTACAAGATTGCTACCTTCTATCGAGGACGACACGTGGCATGCGAAGTCTAAGACATGACGATAGGGACAGATTGTTGATTTTGGTTGGTTAACATCAGATTCAATTTGCTTCAAGTTACACGTGTCGACTTCTCCTACGGGTGGATCACTAGCCACCCGACGTCAAAACGTGACATACCTCATTTAAGTGATATCCCCGGATTGCTTGGCCAGGGACCAAGAGCTCCCAAACAACACCCCAACTGCGACTGGACGCAGGAGACCCTTTGTGGTTGAAGACCCAAGATCGCAAGACGGATCAAGTGGCCCGAAGGATCGCGAATCGAGGTATACATTTGGACAAGGCGAACTGTTACAGATCAGGGTGACTCATATCGAGCACCCTACAAGTATGCAAGTGATCCCGTGAAGAATTCCACGAGATTACGTCGACCCCGATTGCGGTGTGAAGATTTCTACACCGAGATCAAACCTCGACCCCATCGCAAACACGGTCAAGTTTTTCATCGACACGAGTCCACCTGGAAGAGTGCAACCCGCC